ACAAAATCACATCTTTATACATTTTTCTGTTCTGAAACATAAATAAATAATTTTTAAAATGTATTATTCTTCGAAATGATGTAGGAAAGGATGTGGAATTACAAACCAGAGTTAAAATAATGCTAGCTGCACTTTGGGAGACTGAGGCGGGTGGATCACGAGGTCAGGAGATGGAGACCATCCTGGCTAACACAGTGAAACCCCAGTGAAATCAGTAAAATAATACAAAAACTTAGTTGGGCATGGTGGTGGGCGCCTGTAGTCCCAGCTACTCAGGAGGCTGAGGCAGGAGAATGGCATGAACCCAGGTGGCGGAGCTTGCAGTGAGCCAAGATCGCACCACTGTGCTCCAGCCTGGGTGACAGAGCAAGACTCCATCTCAAAATAATAATAATAATAATAATTAATAATAATAGTAGTGCTAGCCTTTAGACTAATAATTTTCTTTTAAGTATTAGTCTCTGAAATCATTTAGATAAAAAGTAGAGTTACATATCATTGTACAGTAATACAGGCTTTTATAATTGTCCATATATTTATCTTTATTGAGTTCTTCTTCATATGGCTTTGAGTTAGTGTTTGTGTGTATGTGTTTTAATTTATTTTACCCTGCAGGACTTCCTTGAGAATTTCTGTGTGGCAGGTCTAGTGGTAATTGACTCCCTCAGCTCTTCTTTATCTGGGAATATCTGAAGTTGGGCTTTTTAAAATCTGGGAGCATCTCCCTTACTTTTTAAGGACAGTTTTGCTGGTTATGGAATTAGTGGTTGCCAGTTCTCTTAGCAGTTTGAATATATTGACCTGCTGTTTTTTGACCTTTAAAGTTTCTAATGGGAAATCTCCTAATCTTATTGATGATCCCTTGCAGGTGTTGAGTCACTCCTATATTGACCCTTTCAAGCTTGCCTCCTTATCTTTGTATTTTGAACATTTGGTTATCAGGTATCTTAGTGTGGGTCTCTCTGAGTTTATCTTACTTAGAATTCATTGAGCTTCTTGGAGGTTTATATTCATGTCTTTTATCAATTTTGGGAAGTTTGGGGCCATTATCTTTTCAAATAATCTCTTTGCCCCTTTCTCTCTCTTTTTTTATTCTGGTACTCCTACATATGTATGTTGGTTTGCTTGAGGGTGTCCCATGGGTCCCTTAGGCTCTTACTACTTATCTTCAATCATTTTTTCTTCCTATTACTCAGATTCAGTCATTTCTATTGTCTTATCTTTAAGTTAACTAACTCTCTTTTCTGCCTGCTCAAATCTGCCTTTGAATCCCTCTAGTGAATTTTTCATTTCAGTTTTTATACTTTTCAGCTACAAAATTTGATTTTGGTTTCCAGGCTTTTTACTTCTTTATTGATATTTCCATTTTGTTTATATAGTGTTTTCTTGACTTTTTCCACAACTTCCTTTAGGTCTTTGAACATCTTTAAGATAGTTGTTTGTCTTGTAAACCTACTATCAGATCTTTTTCAGAAACAGTTTTTAATTTCTATTTTTATTAAAAAAATTTGTAGAGATGGTGTTCTGTGTTACCCAAGCTGGTCTTGAACTCCTGGCCTCAAGCTATCCTCCTGCCTCAGCCTCCCAAAGTACTGGATTACAGATGTGAGCCACTGTGATTCATTTTGATTAATTTTTACCTTTGAAAGGTTCATACTTTGTTTCTTTATATGCCTTGTGATTTTTTTTGAAAAATGGACATTTGAATCTAATGATGTGGTAACTCTGAAAACCAGATTCTCCTCCTTCCCCAGGGACTGCTGTTTTTATTGTTTTTGTTTTTTTGATTGTTGTAGTCTATCTCTGTGCCAAAGATCAGTCTGAGTTGGAACTTAATGTCTTCTTTGGTCTTTCCTAAGCCTGTATCTTTCTCTGAGCATGTGTGGTCACTTTCTGATTTTCTCTATAGGTGCAGTTGCTTTTGAATGTCCTAGTCTATTATATTTTCCCTAAGGAGGAAAAAGAGAAAAATAAAGGGGCACAGGGAAGGAAGAGGGTGTTGGCCCTTTATGTCTGCTGGAAGTCACTTTAGCCAGAGGAGCATGGGCCTGCAAACAGTGGAGCTAGGTGTAATAGACACATAGCTATTTGCACCTCTGCAATTCAAAGCAGTGATCCGCAGTCACAGCATAGATCTCTGAAATTTGGAGGCAGTGTTCTTTTTGTCTTATCTTGGCTCTTGTAAGGTATGTGTATGCTGCTCCAGGAGTATGTGCATAGCTGCCTGCTATAGGGGTGGCGGGGGTAGAGGGAGCTGTTATTTTTTAAGTGCTGATGTTGACCAAAATGAACTACAGTTTCCCATCCAAGCCTTCCCTTGGAAGTTGCAGGCCTTCAGTAGATACCAGAGTTGTCACAATAGTTACACACCAGACAGATTCTGCCAGTGCAGTTATTGTCTAGGTGGAAATATTGATTCCTGGTGCTTCTGAGTCTGCCGTTTTTCCAGAATCTTCTCTTTCTTCTGTGCTTTTGCATATTGTTTGCCTATTGAACTGTATTTTAGAATCTCTATTACATTTAATTTACATTCTCTTTCTTATTATTTTTATATCTGGCCCAATTCTGTGTCTGCTTTATTTTACCCTTGCTTCTCATGACCATGTGTCACATTTGCTTGCTTATCTGTGTGTTTTGTAATTCTTTCATGTGAAATATATGAAAAAACAGTTGAGACCAAAGTCAGTAAACTTACCTCCAGGAAAGGGCTTATCTCTTCTTCTTTCAGTCTGTTGAAGTGAGGTGCTGCATCAGGCTGATCTCTATTTGATACAGATCTGGTCTTTTATGACAGCTTTACTTTGATTGAGTTTATTACTACTTTAAATATTTTGAAGTTAAGGTTCTGAGATTTCTTTCACAAGGAAAATTGAAGAGTGGTGGGATGCTGAAGATATCTTTGTGCTTTGCTATGAAGCCCCAAATCTTCTGAGCTGAGGGAGAACATGTTTTCTTTCTCTGCTTGCAGCCTGGTCGCTTCTTCTCTTGTCTGTCCAGTTCTTTCCCCCAGCACTTTATGCCTATGGAGAGCACTCTTCCCCTTGCCCTACCCAAGAACTTTGAGGGTAGCTGTGAAGGCCTACGGTTTCTCCCAGCTCTTCTGTGCCACCTCCATCCTTCAGTTGTTAAGTGTCCTGAGTGCTTTCAGAGGGGTATCTCCCAGTTCTCTTTTCCCCTCTGTTTCACTGCCATGCTCCCAGTCAAGGGAGGTTAGCTGCCTTGTGCTTGGGGAGGCTTCCCATACTTCAAGGTTCATTCTCTCAGTTCTCTTCCTCCCCTGCAGCCTTTGGTTTACTCACCCGATGCCCCTGGTGTGTACCTGTGGGAATCAGCTGGTGGGTGAGTGTCAACTCTCTGCTACAGGGTGCTCCTTGTAATTTTAGTTTATCACTTTAGTTTATATGCAGTCACTCAAGTTTGGCTGGTTTCTCCTTACCCCGTCTAATAAAGATTCTTTTTTCTCTTGTATCTCTGTCAGGCCTCCAAGCACATCTTTGAGTCTCTTCTGTCTCATGAAGGTGTTGTCACTTTCTGAAAGCTAGTTCATGTAGGTTTCTTTTCACCCTTAATTATTTGATTTCTTTTTAAAACTATGCTTTTGTCATTAACCTGGCTTTTTTGGGCTACTGGGAGAATGATTGTTATCTTGTGAACAACTTCTTAGTATCTGAAGTTTAAAAAAATACTTTGTGATACCACTTTCCTCAATAGAGAATATATCTCCATCAACTTTGTATTTCATATAGTATGAATTATAATGGTACATTACATTTATTAAGTATTAGTTACCTGGGTGGACACTGTCCATGCATCATCGCATTTAATACCCACAAACTTGAAAATACATAATATTGTGTCATCCTCAATTTCCAGTTGAGAGCCTAAGCAGGTAGGTCAATATTACATAGCCAATTATAAACACATTTGAACTTAGGGTTGTCTGTCTCTGGGACCACGTTTGCAAATTGACATCCAAAGATGGGGTAGGTGTATAACATAAGTGAGTAAAGCAAGTGGGGAATAAGAAAAATAACAAAGCAAGTAGCATGATGAATGACAGTTAATACTCAGCCTAGATACTAGCAAGAAAACTAGAGGGTAGTCAGTTCTGTGGCAGACTTTCTTGGGGAATATATACCTCATTTAAAGGTGATGGTCATTTCTCAGCTGTAGCTAGCTGTTGCCCATGTGAGAATGTAGGTCCAGTCTTCCCAATTTTCTGATTTTTCAGTAGAAGCCAGAAATCTGTATCATGAAAAATACATGTTGGTAGCTGGTTTAAATAAAACTAAAATCCAGTCTGCAGACCTATATGGTGAATTTTTTTTTGAAATTTTAAATTTCAAATCTTTGTGGATACAGAGTAGGTTTATATATTTATAAGGTATATGAGATGTTTTCATGCAGGCATGCAATGTGTAATAATAGCATCATGGAAAATGGGGTATCCTTCCTTCAAGCATGTATCCTTTGTGTTACAGACAATCCAGTTATACTATTTTAGTCATTTTAAACTGTACAGTTATTATTAACTATTGTCACCTTGTTGCTATCACATATTAGGTCTTTTTCATTCTTTCTATTTATTTTGTACCCATTAACCATCCCCACCTCCTCCTCACCCCACTACATGGTGATTCTGAAATTAAACATGTCCATAGACCCAACCTGTTACTGAGCAGCCAGTTTTTTATCTATGTAATAAGGTCTGAGCTCGTTTAAACTGTTAAGTCATACTATCTCTCAGTGCTTAGTTTCATGTATGTATTAAATAGATTAAGGAAGTGAAGACCCTTAGATGTAAGCTACACTATATTTTATCTGAAACACCAAGTCCTTCATTCATCTGCCTTAAGCAATAAAGTTCTTATATAAGGTATGTCTCACATTAAGCTGATGCTCACCTGGAGATGATGCTCCAGGTATTATGAATTCTTAGTTTATTCTTGTTCACTAATAATGACTTTCTTTCCCTCTCTTCTTTTTTTTCTGTGATGTAGCTTTCACTTTCAGAAGAACAGAATGAAGTAATGAAAAATGGCTGTGAATCTAAAGAGCTGGTCTACCTCGTGCAGATTGCTTGTCAGGTGATTTTGTGAATGTATTCTCCATTTCATATGAAGTTAAAAATTAGGTTGAGTGATTATTAGATTTCTTTCTATAACGTGATTTGCCTAAAGGATTATAATCCACAGAAAAATACTTACATAATACTGAAATGAGATTGTGCAATAATGATTATTGTAAGAAAATAAATGGTATTCTCTTAAAACAGAAATAAGTGTATTCGTACAATACTACGTGGAATGCGGAGTTGAGCATTGCAACTTGTATGTCTTCTCTTTGCACTTTTAGAAAGTTCCTAAGGCTTTTGACACTTATGAGTAAATAGCAATGACTGTGGTAATCAAGATGTTTTCATTCTTTCTCACAGTCACGTTGGCATTTCTGCATGCACTCAGAGTTGAAGTCTTCTGTTTAGTAGAATTAGTTTTATAGATATTTAATCCATACCCTTAAGTGAAAATACCTTTATTAAGACTAAAGGGAAGATATTTATTGATCATTACGTTAAGTGATTCAGCTATTGATCACATATTATAGCAAAATAGTAGATTATGTTGTCTCTGCTTCAGATGCACACTTTTTCTAACTGAGACATTAAGTTTCTCTTTGGTGTGACAATAGGATATGTGCATGTTTTTGTAGCTTGTTATTTCTTGACTTTTAATATTAGAACTTTTTTGAAGGTAATGACCATGACTTGCTCTTAATGAGACTTAAAATATGTCCTTTGTAGCATTGATTATTTCCCCCATCATGTAAGCACTTAGTATAGTTCTTTTATTCACTTATTCTACATTCTTTAAGCTTTTTGCCTACTGGTGGATTAGTCATTGTAAAGAAAATATTTAGGAGGAAAGCTTTCTTCTATACAAAGTTTTCAGCTATCTTTGGGAGACAGTAAGATATGGGCATTTACATTTTTTCTCAAAAAGTATTAATCATGTACCTGAAGCTAAATGATCCAGAAAAGTCCAGTGCTTTCATCATGTGTGATATACTGAAGTTTTTAGTTGTGGTCACCTTAAGGAAAACCTTCCAGAATTAAGTGCGTTTCTTTTTAGGTGTCAGAGTATAGGATTGGAAATCTAATTTTAGCTTGTATATAATTAAGTAAGATGACCAAATTCACACATTGTTTATGTATGTTTTATTGCATGTCACCTCAGCTTCTTTGAGAATATAGGGAAGCTCTTAATTACTAAGTTTCATGCCATATTTCATAAAATGCTTCCATTTGGTGAGTTAATTTTTAAGTGAAAATATTGAGTGCATTTATGATAAGTTATTACTAATAGATGGATGAAGATCATATCTTTTTTATCTAGAGTACATCGTTGGTGAGTCACGAATGAATTTCTTAATCCCTCTACAACCTAAGACGTTTTAGCATCTCTTTTTCTCACCATTAATTTCCATATGCTTCGAGAATGCAAATGTTCTTATTCTTATGAACAAAACATACCATCAACAAAAATTAAAAAGTATCTGTGCTGTTTTTTAAAATGACCTTCAGAAGGCAAGCATGGTATTTTGGTACCAAATATTATAATGTATAATTGTTACTTGATTGTATATTCATGTGCAGTATTGGTGACCTAGATAGATGGTTCGTTTCCTGGTATAACTATCTCGTCAAGCTTCTTAAAAAATTTCATACTACTTGGTATACCATTTGTTATATCAAAGTAGTAACTTAGTGCATTGTAATAATGCATTTGTACCTGTTCTTTGCCTCATTATATGTAATCATTGATATATTCCCATGGCCTACCCCTGTATTCTTGCCATATTGTGTTAGCCATAAAGCATATTAAACTAGAATCATACTTTTTTATAACTAAGAGAGAAAAAGATGTACAATTAGACCTTCCAATTTTGCCGATGAGGAAACTGAGGTCCAAATTACTGAAGTGGCTGTCCTAAGCGATATTGAATGTTAGCAGTGGGGACTATGAGGATTTCAGTTTCTTGACTGCCACCTTTTTCTGTGTCTATTTCAGTCTATAACAAAATTTGAGAAATTGCTTAATCTTCAGATAAGACCACCATTATACACTGATGTAGTCTGTTTCAGAAGTTATTTACAAATTTTATCTCTGTCAGTTTCTACTTTTTAATAATATCACTTGACATTCTTTTTATTTAACCAAAATTCTTGGTCTTTCATCTTAACCCTTTCTTCTCTTGTTCTGTTAGCTTATAAAAGTGACAAATTGATTGACTGTAATCGTTTTTCTTTCTGTAAGTTAAGTGATACGGATTTCTTTCAGTCTTATCTTGGAAACTTTGAAATGTGTCTATGCCTGCCCTTAAAAGTTTTTATTTCTTTCTAAATTGTGAGCCCAGAAATGTAAACTCTCTTCCAGTTTACATTTGGAACCTTCAAATCTAGAACCCCTACGGGAGCACCCAGGCCAACTGGGGACTGAAATCTTAGTGATAGTAAAAGTATTTAAACAGCTGATACAGCATGGACCCAAAGCAATAGAACAGATACTAGTTATACAGATCTCATTTACCTGTCTTGGTGTGTCTTAGCTGAATATTAGCCGTGGATAAAATGCTCTTTAAGCTGTCTTGAATGATAAGTCTGTAATGCTGTGGTGAGCCCGCAACTCCCTCCCTTTCATAGTAATTAATTAGAATTACATGTCGTGCTGCAGATATCCCCTCTCTCATCTTTTTATTCTGTTCTCTCAGTAAATGAACAAAAGTATCTGTTTAGAGAACAAACAGACCAGCTGCTGTGGATGAGGAACCTTCTCAAGAAAGTTAATGTATTTAGGTTGAAATTCATGGAAATTAATAAAAATTCTCGTAATCTCAGGAATATGTCATAGTAGATATGAAATTTAATAATTTTAAAAGGCCAAAATTAGATAAACCCTGACACTAATTATTCTGAGCCCCACTACACAGAATAAAACGTTTTATGAGTTTAACATCAGTGTTACTAGGTCCTAAAAGTATTCTATCTTTTATTGCTTTATTCTTTAGCAAATAAGCACCAGCTTTTAAATGTTCATTTTAAAACGGCAAATTTAAGCCCAGCTGTGGTGGGCATTTTTTTCTACATGTGCTGTAATAAAAGTCTTGTTTTGATCTTTTCCTTCTGTAAATCTAGTTTTGTTGGTATAAGAATAATGGTTGCTTAGTAAAATACTTAGGATTTTAATGTTTCACTGTCAGCTTTATAGTAGTTGATGTTAATGGTTCCTATTTAAGTAAAAAGTGTATTAACTACCTTTGTATTTTAAGCAGAATTAATCAATATTTAATAGTTTGATTTTTCTGAAGATGAAGTATTTTTTAAATATATACAGTAGCCTGAATGCTCTTATGTCATGGTAGATGGGGTAATCACTTGGTTTAGGGGAATACTTCCTTGCCTCAAAATATCTCCTGTGTTCTAATGTTCTCTTGCTTGAAATTCCATCATCAAAAATGCATTCCCTGGTATTAAATAACTCCTTTTCCATTCAGGACAGTAGAAAATGCTGTTAACTACAGGAGTGGGAGTAAATATTAACGTTTATAGAACATATGTATATGAACAAAATATATAGGCAGATTGCCAGGACTTTTATTTAAACCTCATAATGCTTCTGTGAAAGGTAGCTGTCATTTATTCCCGTTTCATAGATGAGTAAAGTGCTGTTCATTGATGTTGAGTAACTTGCATACATTTCTGTATTTAGGATAGGTCCAGGCTGAGATTTAAATTAGGTCTTTTTTTTTTCCCCTCCCTCTTTTCATTGAACTTCATCCATTTAAAAAGATAATTGATAGCCTCTATTGTTTTTCAGATAATCCCATAACAAAGGGACTTCCAAGGACATGAGCAAAGACTGTTCTTAGAATGGCAATTATTTCTAAAATTTGTCCATTTCTTTTCCATTTTTATTGTTACCAAGCTAGCTCAAGCATGATCTCTTGTTTGGGCTGATGTTTGCATCCTATTATAGCCTTATAAACTGCCAGAATGGTAAATCAAAATGTAAATCAAATCTTGTTACTATCGTGGTTAAAACTCTTGAATAGATTCCCACTGCATGTAGAGCTAAACCCAAACTACTTACCAAGGCCTATGAGGGTCCTACACAATCTGGGTATCCCTGCCTCCTCTGTATCATTTCAGGATAATCCCTCCTCATTCCCATGCTATGGTCACACCAGCTTTCAGGCAGTTTGTAAAAGGGCCAAAGTTCTTTCCTGTAACGAGGCCTTGAACTTTGATCATCCCATGACTCTGTTCACACCGTTGCCACATCTGGTAGCTTCTCAGTCTTTAGGACTTGATTTAGATACCACCTCCTTAGAAAGGCTGTTTCTGACCCTATGCGATTTCTTCAGAGTATGAAACTGTCATTTTATTTGTGTGTTTGTTTACTTTAAAAAGTATTTGTTTTCCTCACTAGAAACAAATTCTAAGAAGTCTGGTGTATTGTTTATCATTTCTGTATCGCACCTCTGGTGCTTACTACAGTGCTTAGCACCATGTGAATGGTCAGTAAATAACTAGTGAATAAACGAGTGAAAGAGGAACAAATTCTTTTCATTAGAAATCTGATCCTACATACATTGCATACATTGGGATATTTTTTTCTCATTCTGCTTCCTCAGCCTTATCAAGAATTGTTGATTTTTGTCATGCTTGTATAGTAGTAATTGGTAGTAAGTAGTAATGCTTGCTCTTTTTTTTTTTTTTTTGGAGACCGGGTCTCTCTCTGTCACCCAGGCTGGAGTACACTATAGGCTCGACCTCCCAGGCTCAAGTGATCCTTCTGCCTCACCTGGCTAATTTTCTACTTTTTGTAGAGACAGCGTTTTGCTGTATTGCCCAGGTGGTCATGAACCAGCTCAAGTGATCCACCTACCTCTGCCTCCCAGAGTGCTGCAATTACAGGCATGAGCCATTGTGCCCAGCTGGTAGCAATAATTCCTAAGATTAAAAATTAGCAAATTAAAATTTCAGCAGGAGTATATAAGGAAGAGATTTTGATTTATTCCTTTACACAGT